TTCACAGGCTGGGACACCAGCAGAGCTGGAGGAAGAAGAGAGAGGGTGCAAGACGCTTTGGCTGCCAGGTGTTCATCTAACCCCAAGATACAGACATTTACAACCTGTGTCTCTGGTTTGCTTTGGATTGGGTTCTGGGTTTTTTCTTGTTTTGTTTTTTTTTCTCAAGACTTAGAGAAGTGATTGTATTGCAAAGTGCACTGCAAATATTGGAGAAGAAAATTGCCTTTCCTGACAGGTTAACTATATTTGGAGACTGTCACAGCTTATTGGTCTGCTTATATGCAGTGCAATTATTTTTATTGCATAGGCACAAAGAATGGATATGTACGCAGAAAACGTGCAATAAATAAGTCAAGGTTAAATCTTTCATTTATATTATAATACCAAAGAGATGATGAAAAAGCACAACCCACTGACAGCAGCTCAGTGAGCCCTGAGAGATCTCTGACACCTTGAAAAAACACTTTTTCAGATGAGACTGAGAGTGTCTCTCAGTCTTTGAAGTACTTTGTTTTTCAAACAATACTCTGAAGTTGTTGAAGAGAATGACTTTCCAACCCGAGTCCTGAGCATAGGCTAACAACTAAGCTTTCTTTAAGAAAACCCCAACACAGTCGTGTGCCCTAAAATCAAACAGATGGTAGAAAATATATGAATCACAGAAAAACACCAGCTAGAAGAAGCATACACCCATAGAGTAGGAATGAGCACAACTGCATGAAAAGGAGCGTGACCAGCAGGTCAAAGGAGGTGATCCTACCCCTCTAATCTGCTCTTCTGAGACCTCACTTGGAAAATTGTGTGCATTTCTGGTGTCCTCGGCATAAAAAGGACATAGAACTGTTGGAACAAGTCCAGAGGAGGCCACAAGGATGATCAGGGGACTGGAGCACCTCCCATATGAAGATAGGCTGAGAAAGTTGGGGCTGTTCAGCCTGGAGAAGAGAAGGCTGCGTGGAGACCTCAGAGCAGCCTTCCAGTATCTGAAGGGGGCTTATAGGGATGCTGGGGAGGGACTCTTCATTAGGGACTGTAGTGATAGGACAAGGGGTAATGGGTTAAAACTTAAACAGGGGAACTTTAGATTGGCTATAAGGAAGAAGTTCTTTACTGTAAGGGTGGTGAGGCACTGGAATGGGTTGCCCAGGGAAGCTGTGAATGCTCCGTCCCTGGTGGTGTTCCAGGCCAGGTTGGACAGACCCTTGGGTGAGATGGTTTAGTGTGAGGTGTCCCTGCCCATGGCAGGGGGGTTGGAACTGGATGATCTTTACATCCTCTCCAACCCTAACTATTCTATGATTCTATGATCCTATAAAGCACTGTAAAGGAAGCAGTGTTGTCAGTGCTGCTCCAACTTAGCTGCCAGGACCAGTGATGCTGTGGATGCACATTAATTAGTCAATCAATAAGAGGAAGAAATACAGGTTTAAGAGAGGAAGATGGCTAGGGAATGACCCACCTTCATAATAATTTCATTCACAGCAGCTCAGGAGAGCCAGTCCAGTGCTACAGGAGGCACCTTGGTCTGTCTTGAGCACCATGGTGAGTAGTCTGAACTTGACATTGGGTTCTGGAAGAACCCATCAGCCTTAGCACTCAGTCAGATTCATACTGAAGTGTCTGATCAAATAGAAAGTGATGAAAGCCATGCAGGTGACTTGAGATTCTTCCCTCTACCTGAGACAGAGAGATCTTGGGCTTTCTCTCTCAGCTGACACTCACTGTCAGCAAACACAGGCATAATTGTGCCTTCTTGTACTGGGAAAAGAAATACACCTTTTGAAATATTTAAGATGAAAACCTGGCTTTTTTCATGTCAGCAGCAAAGATGAACTTCTACAGCAAGGCTGGATGGCTGGGAGAGGTATATATGCCCTGCAGAGATTAGAAGATAGAGAAAGCTTTCTTGGCAAATTTAAGTGCTTTAGAGAGAAGCAGTCTGTCTTAGAGATGTTGCTGTTAGTGCTCTACTAACGGTATTGTGTGGTGGTCATTACTCTGACAAGCACTCAATAAAGCCATTTTGAGAAGAGAAACAAGAAAAACAATGTACCAGAGAATTACCTAAAATTTAGATCAGCTCAGCAGCTAGTCTGCAGAGGTGTCATTCTTCAGCATGAACGCAGCAAGCAATAGATAAAGGCTGTGATAATTACCCATGTCTGCATCCAGCCACCAGCTTGGAGAACCTTTTCTCTCTCTCCGCCTGACAGCAAAGAACAGCACACGTATGGTAAACACGTGTGAAAGAGAAAGAGCATTTGTGTGTCCTGAAGTAATTCCCTGACATCTGGCGCTTTCAGGTTTGTCAGCTGTCAGAGAGATTGCCGCAGTGCTTCTGTATCCCAGGCAGCTCTGCTCCCTCACCCCTCGATGTGCAGAGGCTTTCAGCACACCCAGCACTCATTAATGGATTCATCCTCAGCTTCTTTTCAAGCATTTTGACTGCTGCTTAGTCTACCATAGCCAGTACTGAGGGCATGGCAAATATTGGGGGATTTCTCTCTGTCAGTGCATTTATAAGGATGAATCTACAAGGCATTTTCTTAAAGTCGGTTGGTTGGTTTTTTTTTTGCTGTGACACTTAGGATGATCTCCAGCTCTTGGGACCTTCAAATTCAGAGCTCTAAACACTTTTTTGCCCTTATCAGTTTGGGACCAGGACTGGTGAGTTTGTGGTTTGGGTTTGTTTTTAGCCACTGTGTCCATTTTTCATTCTATTTTGAAGAATCATTTTAATCCTGAAGAACTAGGAAGAATGCTTATAGGAAATAGGGAGCAACAGGTTCAAATACACACTTGGTAAACAGAAATCTTTAAAAGCAGGATAATTTTATCACAGAAGGATGAGCACTTAAATGGAATGATGCTCATATGGGACTCATTCAAGCGCAGCGCCCACCAGCCTCAGATGCCAGTGTAGGAAGGACTGCACATTCCCAAAGCCTCCTTAGAAGACATGCAGAACAAGCTTAGAGGTTTATTTTCCTCCAAAGCACAGTTACAGCTCCTGCTTTCTTTCTAGACAGCCATTCCCTTCTTCCACATAGTATTCTACTCATTAAAGTATTGTCCTGGGATGGGAGAATGGTGTGGGGGTCTCCAGACTCATCTCCCTATTTCCCTCTGTCCAAAAGAAGGGGAATCAACTATGTGTTGCTGCAGGCAGTGATGCTCACCCATTGCTATGGAGCTCTGCATCTGGCAGAGAGAATTCAGGACTCGCTGGGCAGAGAATAAAAGGGCATAGAAGGAAGAGTAGAGCTATAATCCTCTCTAAGCCATGCATTTCAACAGCCCTAGAACCAAGACTGTCTCCAACCCCTTTGCCATACGCAGACAAGGCTGTCGCGGGAGCATGGGGACTGATGGGGACAGGCAGCAGTAGAAAGAGCTTATGCCATGGCAGGGCTCTGCAAGAGGGTAGCACAGGCAGGAGAAAGGGGGGAGTTTTCCTTCTGTGCACCCCACATGGAAAGTTTCTCACCCCTGCACTTGTCAAAGATCAGGAGGTGAAGGAGAGGGGTAAAACAACATTTTCCCTTCATATTCCCTTCTCTACACAGCCCCCTGTTTAATTAAGAGCCTGGAGAATCAAATTCCAACATTTCATGTAACAAGGCCACATACAGAGCACAGTGCCTAACATCTGCTTTACTGGTAATTGGCTCAAAGTGCAAATGTTTTTAATATAATGAGCTTCCTCTATCTGCATTGCAGCCACCTAAACTTCCAGATTAGGAAACTCACTGTAGCTGTTGCACATCAGCTTCTCTCTGGATACAGCGCTGCCTGTGCCGGTGCCCCTCTGTCCTACAGCAAAGGCATGCTGCCCATCAGTGGAGAAGTTAATCAAGTACCTTTTGAAGTCTGGCTGTGTACAGACTTTGGATGAAAGGTGTTATTTAAATATTAGCTGTCATGACAATAAGAATGATTATGGTTATTTTGGCCATATTAGTAATAATAAGTAATAGTATTTTTAAAGGTATTGAAATCTCTGCACACAGCTTAAATGAAAGCTCTAAATATTGCTTATTAGAATAGCCAGTCAAAATGTTTTATTCTAAGTATTTATCTTGTGAAAACTCTTGCTATTCTATATGGGAAGTTCTGCCATTTACTGTGAAAAGCTGCAAACAACAGTAAACCAGAACTGGTTGCCATAAATTGTTAAAGACTTCAGCTTCATCCTAATTTTGTAATAAAAGTTCTAAAGAAAAGGAAGTTTTCAGTATTTTCCACAGAGCCCATACATATTTTTCACCAGCTTTACTATCCTTGGTAGCCTTTACTAATAGAGATGTGCAAATGGATGCCTTAGAAAAATAGCCCATAAAATTTAGGGGGTTGTGTGTGCTCTTTTTGCTCTCTCTCCATATAACCTAGTAATATATGTCTCAATGTCATTTAGTAATGATGGTTTTTGTCTGCCTGTATGGCTGCTAGCAGCAGGAAGAGCAGTTCTGATGGCATTTGGAAGACATGTCAAATATTCTTTTGACAAGAGAGAGAAAGATAATTTAATGGTTTTGTCCCTGGGAAGACAGGGTTCAGCACAATACATGAAGCCATGCACCAGCCAAGCCTTGCCCACAGCCCCTGGCAGTAAGCAGCACTTGATGTTGTAATGGAGGGCAATATCCCTGCTAAAACAGCATCCTGTGAACGACACACTGGACTTGCTCTTGGATCCATCTTTAAGGTGTCTTTCCTTAAAATCAGAATGTGTCACGTTGGGTCATTAATGCAAACAGAGCTGTGCTGCGAAGCAGCTGAGAACCTGGCTTCCTCTATCAAAATAGATCTCATTCTTTTCAAGTTTTTCTATACTCATGAGGATTCAGAGACCTTCTGCCAAAATCAGCTATGGAAAGAAATTTATTGCTCTATAGTTCCCAGCAGATTCATATTTCCCTTTGGCTACTGCTGATGAGCAACAACACTGAAAAAGCTTAAAGCAACTGTAATTACTCTTTACGCTCTATTGTTCATACCTGTCCAGTGAAATACAGCAGAGGTGCAGGATTGATGCTGTGGTGAGCAGGACATCGAGGGATGTCCGGACCAGGCAGAACATCTCCCCATAGATCCAGTTGTCCTGAACCAACTCAATGGCTCCAAATGGCATCACCAGCACTGACACCAGCAGGTCCGCAAAGGCAAGGGAAACAATGAAATAATTGGTCTTGATTTTCCTGCAAGACAGATCACAAAATTAGGGTGTAGAATAGTTTCAGTGCAGCATCCTTTACATGTGGACAGAGATTTAAGCTCTTGTTCGGGTCTAATTCACTTAATCACACTAAATGGTTCTTTCTAATGTACTCCTCATTTTAATGGTCACTGCTGGCTTGTTCCTGGGTTTTATAGCTTAATACCCACCATGCTCCCTGCATAAACAAATCTTTCTGCTCACACAGAAGAGGCAAATAGATGCTCACAGGCCTCTGCATGTGGCTCAGCCTCACAGCTTGTATTGGAGAGTTTGGGGTGGAGAAGGGGAACTTTATTTCAACTTGTAAATTGAGAAAATCCTTCCAGAAAGCACTGAGAAGAATCTAGACAGAAGCTGTAATTTTAACTTGAAGAGTACTTTTTAAATCATAACAATAAAATAGAATTAAATCCATTAAAAAACCCACGCAGAATATGAATAGAGGCTGTTGAATATCTCACTCTGCTCCTGAGGTTGGTCTGACAACTCCCAGGGTAGCAGCAAAGCATCAAGACAAGAGTTGTGCCTGTGGAAACACTCCCCCCCCCCCCCTCCAAAATCACGGGCAGCATTTTGCCAAGCTGCAGCAGTGCAGCACAATGGCCACAGAGCCTTGGTCTGCATGGCTTTCTGATGGCCTTATTAGGAAACCTGAGATGGAAGAGGGGTAGAGGGCAAGATGCTTCTCCAAGGAATTAGCTCTGTTTTTCACTGTTCTATCTGGTTTCTTTATACTGAGAGTGCTAAAAATGTAGAGCATGGATACTAAAATGATCCCACCACCCCAGTGTAAATCTGAATGGGGAGGCACTGAAGCAGTGTGGGTCTGACATTGCAGTTGTGCAATGTATAGACAAAGACACCCCTTGTCATGACAGTTTATGCCCTCAGCTGTGGACATGGGTCCTGTTAGATGGTCATTTCCCCCTGGCTGGGTGGGCTCACCTGAGCTGCCTGTCCCGGCACACGGCCACCATCACCAGCAGGTTCCCCAGGATAGCCATCAGTATAACGGCGGAGATGAAGGTGAGCAGCACGATCTTCTCCGCTACGCCAAAGCCCTCACTCGAACTGGGGAGCGCACAGAAATAGAAGAGAAAAGAAAAGAAGCTGCAGTGGCACTGGGAGAGGGTTGCCTGGGCAGTGCTAAGGTGCTTGGGCACTTCCTGGTGTGAGTGTGAGAGCAGCATCCCCACACAGCAAAGCAGCCTTCCCACCAGGACCATTAATAAAGAGATTTTGTGTTTATGGGGAAGGCTGCAAGGCTTGTGTTCATCAGCAGAAAGGCTACAGGCAGAGGACACCCACAGCCACCCAGCTCTCCCAGTGATGGGTACACCAGCATGTGCAGCAAAGGAGCCCATTTCTGAGGGCTGGAGTGAACTGTGCCTGATTTCTGAAAGTCCCTTCCAGTTCAGAGCCTTGGTTGAAAACATTTTCATTCTCTTTTCACCTCGATAAATGAAATTATTTTCTCTGCAGAAGTGTTTTGGTTTTCTTTCATTTTTCCATTCTTCTCAAGGTTTTCCTCAAGATGAGCATTTTACACCTTGAATTTTGAAATCTATGTAATCTTTTCCCTTGTTCTCTCTTCCTTTCACTCTGCAACACAGAACAAAAGGCAGTCTGGCTTTTTTTTCTTTTTCTTTTTTTCTTTTTCCACAATTAGGGAAAAGAAAATAAAGTTTTAAAAGGCACCTGACATCCCTCTACCCTGATGCCCATAATTTCTTTCATTTAATGATGAGAAAGAAAAGAACAAGGACGGATGACACAAGAACACAATGTTGGACATATTTTAAATTTGCATTTCTACAAATACCTTGTCAAACCTCTCAAAAAAGTTGGGTTTTTTGAAGGCTGCAAAGGGAGGTAACGCACGGCACACAATAAATAGTGCTGAATTCCTCATAACATAGGTTTTATAACAAAATTCTGAGCCACTTTTCTTTTAAAACTATTTCCAAATATGAATCCAGAACAAAATGCATCCTAAACCTTTGCCATCTTGTGTAACTTTCCCTATGACTTTACACTGGTGATAACGGGTGTTTGTCCATGCACTGGCATTAAGAACAGCATTTGACACTAATTCAGCAGGGAAATTTCTTCACAGCATGCAGAGCTGGCATTCAGCACCCAGGATTAATGTGGTGAGATTGTGCAGGTAACTGAAAGATTGAACTGTTATTCTGATTTACTTTGACTTCCCCCAGGGTCATTTCCTATTTACTAAATACAACCCAGACTTTTACACTTTATCTCTCTGAATTGTCCTGGTTTTGGCAAAGATGAAAAAGATTAGAGACTGCTGAAGTCCTGCCTCTGCTACCGGTTAATAAGCTTCTAGGAATTGAGCTCACCCTGAGTCTGCGCTGTAGAACATCCACTTAATCACAGTCTCAATTGTTTTGCCCTAAAAGCAATGCCACTTTGAGTACAACTTTTTTTGCCCACTGCCTATTGCACCAGTGGGTCAGATCGCAGCCTGCTGAGCCTGAACTCTTCATGCTGAGTATGAACAGTACTTTAGGAAGTTTTTGATTTTCAATGTTTTAGAAGGAAATACATCACTGGGAGACAGATGAGGATGTTCATGAGCAAATAAAGAACTGGAAAAGAGGTGCCCTGGCCTCACACTAATTTCATAGAAAACCGCAGCACTAGGCAGACACATGCAGGCTCAAAATCAAGTGCAATTATACTGCTAATAGGAAAGAGATTCAAGGCAATTGCATATCCTAGCTTCATAAATGTATGTTAACATTTATACACCAAGTGCTTTCCCACCTGTGAGAGCACAGGTAGCTTTTAATTCCAATAATCTTCTGTGTGAAAACTAAAAGATTAATAAATGTCACATACAGTAGACACAACTCTACAAGGTTTTAAGGCAAAATGTCCCTTAGTGCTGCCAGGCATATGGCCTTCTGAAAGTGGGCTGCAGAGGTACAGAGAATGTGGAATGCGTGGCTAAGGGTGAAGGGTATCAGGTAAGGAGGTGGGTTTTGTCCTGTATTGGAATGAATGTTCCCAACCCAGAGGTAAAGGCATGACTGCTTCTTTTGCCTGCTGGTTATCAGTGCAAACGTCAGTAAATAGTCCTGCTTAAGGCAGGAAGGTCTCTGGGGTTATGCTGAAGCAGTCAGACATAGCCATGGGTTTTCATTCAGCACTTGTTTTTGTGCAAGTCAATTATAGATGCTAAGATAGGAGAAAGGCAAAGGCAAGATGTGTTTTTATTTAGGATCTGAAAGTTTGCACTTGATTAGAAAAAGGTGTCTATTGAACTTGGCACAACTTCAGTGAGGGCAATTAACGCTCCAAGAAGCTGGCAGCTCCAGGCAAACACTTCAGTGTACGCAGAAACGTTGACAAGGCTCTTCCTCAACTAAATGTGTCTTTCCCAGTTTTTACTGGAGAGCGCTTCTTCCCAATACCTTGGCTCATTAGTTCTTGGACAACTCTTTCCACAAGTGGATTTTGTGCCTGCAGTTCTTGCAATTACACTGCAACTGCTGCCTGCAATTTGCCTCCACTGGCCCAAGTCACACTTACTCTCATCTGACAGCGTAAAATTCCTATTGATCAAAAGGAACGGCATAATCCATCATTCTGACAGTGGCCTGTGGGAAACGAAATGCCTACACACATATAGGAGTACCTCCCTTGCATGCTCTCTCATGCCACAGAGGTCTGTACCACAGCAGGCTTGTGTTTAACAACTTGCGGAGGATTCTTTTGCCTTCTTCTCTTTGCTCTGTCTTTTGAGCTCTCAGTACATGGTGACCGCTATCTCTGGGCAGCTTTCCTTCTTGGTCTCATACTAACATGCTAAATGCAAAATCAAGCAAATAGCGCCAGTTTCTGTGTTTCAGCAAGCACCCCAAATTCCACACAGAGATTCTTTCCTCAAAACTAAAAGTAACTGGCATCTAGTTCCTTATTCTAACACTGAAATTTAAAGCCATCCTAAAGAACTGACCACACGGCTGCTCCTAGAATAGGTGTCCCTTCTTCCTCTGCTAGAATTCATTCTCCCTCTCTCCCAACCACCCCACATACAGCTGATCTGCAAGACCTTATTTTCCTCAGAAGCAAATCCTGCACTGGAGATTGTGGGAGGCAGGAAGGTGGGAGCTGCTGAACCCGCACTGCAGACAAGTCCTTTGGAAAAGGATGAGCGGCCAGGAGTGGGCCCTTCCCTATGGGCACCATGCACAACAGATGCATCGGGTGATTCTCCTCTGCTAGAGGTGCACACATGGCTCTGGGCCCACCGCTTGCCCGACTCCTGCAGGTCACTGCTGCACAGCTGGGGAAGGTCAGACACCTGCCAAGCATCAGTATTTTGAGCACAACCCAGTGCTGGAGCCTTCATTAATAACGTTCAGGAGCAGAAGACACCGTGAAAATTAAAGCGAAATGGAAAAGAACTTCAAAGGGAGGTCTCAGCCACAGGCCTTCTAGCTGGGTACCAGGTGGGATGAAAAACCTCAGGAACAATGAGGATGCTGGGATCAAAGGCACCTTGACTGCCAAGCTGTAATTGTACCTGTCTAAATAAGCCTTCACAATAGGCTAACATTGCTTTGTGGTGGCATCTGTGAAACAAAATGTCAAACCACACTGAACAGTGCCGTACAAAAGATGTTCCTTGTCCTGGGTGAGCACGGGCACACAGTGGTAAAGAGGACGATGATGGTTTAATTTATACAGAGCCAGGCTGAGTTGGATTTATGGTTTGTCTTATCTAGCTTTGCCCATCCTTCTGCTGTCCCTGAACTATTCTCATCACTGCTTTATTTGAGCACCTTGCAGCCGCACTCTGCAGGGTGTACAGAGGGGGAGAGACACCTCCTTCATCCCCAAATCTTGCCAGGGTGGTGAGATGTGGATGGGGCTTCTCACTCAACCATGCAGTGCCTTGGGAGGGGGTTGTCACGGAGCCAAATGTCACCAGATGTTGCCCTGCTCACTGAAGGGTGCTTCAGCTTCAGCCAGTGTACGCAGGCACCCCTGCCCTGAAAGCACAGGCATCCTGTTCTGCATCATTTGACTTAGCTGGCCACAGCCAGGGCTCTGAACAGAGGCCAGCAGGTCAGGAACACACACTGGCACACTTGTCGATGAAGCAGTTGCTGTGATAATAGTTTCGGAAGTGTTTGAGAGATTTCTCCAAAGAGTATTTCTCTCATGCCATGTTGCATTGCTCCCCTGGGGAACATTAAAGAGGCATACGCATCACTGGGGGTGCAGGAAGGATGTTCATCTGGGCTATGTTTCTATACATCTGCCTTTTAAATAACTTATCACGAAGTAGGAATATTTGTTAATTATTCAGTCTCAGTAATTCAAAGCTGTTAATAATGAAAGAAGTGGATATTGCTGTAAATTAAAATCAATGGTTTGCATAACATCTTTTATCAAATCTGTGCGCTCTGGCTTCCAAGCATGCTTCCCTGTTTAATAAAGCAGAGATTGATGGGTTTGCTATTATGAGGAAATGAGATTCAGACAAAATGATTGTTGGTTAGTAGGAATACAGAAATCACTTAAAGAAAAAGGTGAAATACCGATGCGGAATGAATGCTTAAAACCCATACATGGATGTATTTAAAAGGCTCTTCTGTATAGTCGTTAAAGTGAGTAAAAAAAGTGTAATTATTTTTTCAAGCTCAGTTTCTACTTTCCTGTAAACACCGCAACTTTTCTAAATGACCTCAAGTGCTTCTGCGTATTTTATGCAGCAATTAAACCACACACATCAGTCATGTTGGTAAGATCACGTACATTGCTCCTCTGGTTTTTGTTACACATCACACCCTGACCTCCCTGCACTGCCACAGGAAAAAGCTCTCCAATAAACATCTCAGTGCACCTTGGGTAATGCACAGACACTCCTGCAGGAGTGCAAGATGGAAAAGAGAGTGAGGGCTGAACAAATAAGACTTGGCTTTTGGGGGCAGAGAAGCACAGCTGATACAAAGGAGGCTGGATAGCCCATTTCCAAACTGGAGAGGAATAGCTCTGCCTGCAGAGGTAAGCTGGGGGAGCATCTCCTGGAGGTA